CAACAGTATGTGAGCAAAGGCTGTGAGAGCGTGCCCTTCAGACCACCATCCCATCAGCTGGCTTTGAGCAAAACCAGAAAGCCAATCCAGAAACGAGTCAAGCTGGCTAGTAGAGGGTGACACAACGAATGCCTATGGATGCCCACGGTGAGCTTTCTTATTGTGGGTCACTCAGGACTGGGGTGTCTCTCAGTGCTGGCTGAGACAGCTCTCCTGTTCCATGCTCGAAAACTTTCACTTTTAAAACATAGCTTAGAGTTCCACAACCTCTCATAGAATTTCAGCTCTCATTCAGCCCCATAACACCCATGGTCTGGCATAGAGGTGGGCACACACACACACACACACACACACACACACACACACACACTAGGTGTCAAATGAATACTTCTTGAGCTGAACTGAACAGCTGAGGAGACAGAGAAAAATGTCGATTATTCTTTGGGAGCCATGTCTTCTTCATTTGTGAAATGGGACAGTCCTTATTGGGATAAAGGAGATGCGTGCTGCGATTGGTTTTCTCTCTTTTTGGCACACAAATACCCATATGTAACACACATATCTAGGCTCTTGAGTGTGCACACATTCATGCCCACATTCATGCCCACCCATGAATTATTAAGCAAAACGCAATCCCTCCAAAACGAATGTGTTCTGGGCCTAAGCCTAGGAAGAGTTTTCACAATCTAAATTTGGTCCTGTGGTGGACAGTTGAAATAACTTTCAAGGCCAGCTCTATGATTTTAACATCAAAGTCACTGGCATTTGGATCTGTAGCTGCATACAGGTCCACCTGCAGCTTAGCTCTTCAGGGCATTCTTTCAGTGACAGTGCGACCCACTAATTTGGTGGCTGCTTTAGGTGGGAAATACAGTACCCAAGAATCCTTGAACCAGTGAGCATCACTATGCCTGGCTTATCACAGATGGAAATCTCCAAATCTGTGCCCTGACACAAACCCCCTCTGTGATGAAACAAAACAGCTCTGTGGCAGGCCTGCCCATCAGAAGATTCCCGCTCTGAGCCAAGACCTGAGGCGGGGTTGAGAGACTGAACAAAGGCCTGGCATCTGCAGCTACAACAGTGAAAGGGGCCCAGGATCTTCAGGGCCCAACAACTCCCTCTTATAACAGAGCACCCCTCTTGGTTAGCAACTTTCTCCTCACCTCTGGCCCTGAGTGTTACCCAGAGCCCGCAGTTTATCATCTAGAATGATGACTCAAAGGACCAAGCCTTCTAGTCGGGACCCTGGCCAGGCTCCTTTAGGTCCTGGCTGGCCCAGAGGCCAGGCCCATGGGACCCTTTTGCCTGTTCTCTTCTGCCCTCCATGCTCCGGTCCTCCCAGCCCCGAGAAGGGCAAGGCCAGACCCTTTGCCTTCCCTTCCAAGGCCCACTATCTTAGGCTCTGCTCTCCTGCCCTGCCTCCCCTCCCCCACCCATCCTCTTTCAGGGCATAAGGGACCTTTTCTATTTGCACAGCCTAAAGAAGCTGGTTGCCAAGGTGACAGGAGCAGGAACAGCAGGGAGCTTGCCATGGGGGGAGGGGCTTTGCCCCCAAACAGCTGTCAGTGGGAGCAGTCCCAGCTGGGGCAGGAGGGCTTGCCTCTCTGGAGGAAACACCCCCAGGGAAGACACATTCCTCTTTGCTACCCTGTTCCCTCCACTCCCCCCCCCCCCCAGTCTCCACTGCCTACCTTCCTCCTGAGGCAGCCAGCCAGCTATAAAGAATGCTGGCAGCTCCCTCCCTCTCCAGTGCACAGGGCTCTCACAAGCACGAGCTTGCCTGCCTGGCTCTCCCTCACTTGCCCCTTCCTCTCTGACGCACAGGGGGTTGGCTGGGCAGAAGGCCAGCAGTCACCTCTGCCTGAGGAACTGTGTAGTCTGACAGGTGCCGCTCTGCTCGACCCCCCACCCCCATCAGGTTAAAAGAATGATTTCAGTCTTTTTGTTCCACAGGCCCAGAGAGGCCCAGTGGCTCCTCAGCCTCCCCCAGCTGCCCTCCTTTTGGGAGGTGGGAGTTGAGGGTAGGGAGGCTTATGGAGGGGAGGGGGCGGGAGAGAAAGGAAGAATGGGCCAGACAGTGGGAGGCAGGAACAATGCCAAGCCCACTGATCTGTGTCTCTGGGGAGAGGGTCTTTGTATTCCTCAGCACACAGCTGCTCCATGGAAAGTTCTGTGGGGCCACTGGTCTCTACTCAGCATCACAACCCACTGTCAGGCTCAGACCACACCCAGGCCTCTGGCCCTCAAAGCCTGTCCTTTACCTGTCCAGGTACCTCAAGAATAGAGCTGGACACTAGGCCCTGCAAACCTCAAACAGTCTTAGAACCCCTAGGCTCTCTGAGCTTTGGGTTGGGGAGAGGAAGGGCAAGGAGGCCCCAGATCACTGTAAGAGAGTGGAGCTTGATGAGAGGGTTCAGGAGCTGAGGATAGGGGATGGATGTGGAGTGGGATCCATCCAGTCCTGCACTGACAGCCTGAGTGACTTTGAGGGCTCTTGGTTGGAAGGTCTTGGGGGAAACCTCCCTGCACCTCGAGAAGTGGCATACACAGACTACCTAGTACATTCTCCAACACAGGATAGACTGTCCCTGAGCATCTGTCCCCTCTCTGTCCGACTTCCTGGAAATCTGAGATGCCAGCAGCCCCAGGAGATGCTCATGATCTTCCTTGTTTTGAACAACCCTTAGAATGTGGGACTGGTTTCAATTTATCGAGAAGCTACCCTTTGGCCTGGGCAGGAATAGGATTCCCAAGGTCCTGGGTCCTGAGATTGCTCCTGCTGTGGAACTTAGAAGTGGGGCTTTGACCCTCCCCACAAGGCTCAGGGATCCTTTTGGGAAAGGAGGTGGAAAGATTGTTAGAGCCAGAGGTGATGGCTAACTCCAAGGAAATGGTGTCTCCTAGACACAACAGAGCTGACGACTATCTGAACTCACAGAGACATGCACAAAGCTTGCACAGGTTCAAGCCAGACAGTGATGAGAGGGGAAGCGGACATGGGCTCCCACCCGCAGCCAAGAAGCTGCAACTATAGCCAGTGACAAAGAGAGCACCAGTTTTCTCAATGGGCGGCTCACTGGGTATATTAGCCACAGTCTGGGGGGGGGCAGCCACGCCATCCCCCCCCCCCCAGGGGCTATGCGACACACACACTCATTAAAAATATCTGCCAGGCACAGCTCTCTCCTGCTTCTCTCGCCTCTCTTGCATTTCTTGTCTCCTGTTCCTCTTCCCTGGTCTGTCTGTCTGTCTGCCTGCCTCTCTCATGCCCCCTCTCAGATATGGCCTTTTGCTCCCCCCTCCCCCAATAAACCTCTTGCACTAACTCTGTTGCTCGTGGCTTGTTTGCTCAGTAGCATACCTTGGCAGGGCCCACCAACAGGAATCCAGTTTGCCTTTTTGTTTTTTTTTTTTTATCCTGTCAGGAGCTGCCTTGGGGCCCCAGTTCTACCCTAATTTCAACACATGTGGCTCCCCCTAGTCTGGCCCCTCCAGAATTCTCAGTCTTTTTCCACCAGAGAACAAGGCTGGAGAGGTGTGGGAAAGAGAAGACTGGGTACTGGTGGGCCTCTGCAGGGGGTGGCCTCCTCAGTTCAGCCAGGAACTATGAAAGGCAGTTAGCCTGTCCTTTGTCCTGGGTGACTTCTGAAGTCTCTGAAAGGCAGAGAAACGCCTCACACTCCTGTGATTGGCCCATGCTTCCTTCTGACCTGCTGGGCCACTTCAAGACTCAGGTGCCAGCAGGGTGTGCTGGCACATACCTGTAACCCAGTATGCGTGAGGCCCACACAGGAAGATCGGATGTTCCAGGCTGGCTCGGGCTACATAAAAAGACTCAGGTGCAGCAGAGAGACCGCGCCTCAGACCCATCCCACCCGACAGTGAGGGGCCGTTAGTGCCTGCTGCACCTACAGTGGATTAAAACCCTGAGTAGATTTGCTGGTGTATCTAGCTCCTTCCTTTTGACTGTACACTCTCATATAAGAAATCATACTTCCACCCAATCTTTTTTTTTTTCTTTTCATTTTTGGTGATTGTGGGGATCAAAGCCAGGGCCTCACAGTTTCTAGGTAAGCATTGTACCTACCATCAAGCGACACTCCAGACCTGACCACTTAGGTTTTAGTCTAGTGACACATTCTCAGGAAAAAAATCTAAAGGCCACATGGATTCTATTGGATTCTAGGTGGTATGGGTGAGGATGAGGAAGCCTGGCTTTCTCACGCAGTTGACCACAGTGACTGTCTTTAATCCAAGCGGTATGGCCCCTGCTATATTTACTACTGTGGTCTAACAAGTTTGCTCTTTGTTTCTCAGACTGGAAAGTCTGCTTCCGGGCTCTTGGCAGATTTTCTCATTAAGGACTGGCTGGAATGGTCAGTGCTGGGAGGTTCAATGGGCAGGGAAAGAGGCTAGCCTGAGAACACTGATCACCCCCATTTGCTGAATGTGCCCCACTAACATCAGCGAATTTGTTTTTCAGTCTTCTAGATTTAATCTCAAGTGTGGGGATCCTTGGTAAGCCTTTCCCAGGCCTCCCTTCCAGGCAAGGTGGACCCTCCACATTCCCGCACTCCCGAGCTCAGACACAGAACTGGCCACAGGACCACCTTCTTTGATCTCCCTGGTCTCGGCACACTCAGAAGAGGCAACATGCTTAGCACATATTAGCTAGCTGAGGGGCGAGAAAGTCAGGTTCCTATGTCCCCTCTGCCGACGTGGCTCTCACAAGCTCCGGCCAGCCACATCCCTTTCACTAACTTTGGGAATCTCAAAATAGTCCAGTCTCTACCGGGTCAGGACTAAGGCTATGGCTGGCACCCAAAGCTGGGATTGTGTCACTGACTTCCTTAAAGTCAGGCTAAGCCTGGAGTTGGCAAACACTCCAGGATCAGGAGACCACAGCAAGAGGCGGGTGTCCCAGTGCACACACAGGAAGGAAGGTTTGGAAGGTCTTCCTGATCCACAGCCCAGATTTCATCTTCCTGGGGCCTTACCTGGTGCAATGAGGGGATGAGTAGCCACAGCAGGAACTGTCCGGCCAAGCCCAGGCCGGCTCTCCATGTTCCCTGACACGCTGCTGCCACCATCTCCTTTCCTGAGCGACTCCATCACACTGTCAGTTATACCAGGCTTGGCACCTGCAGGGGAACCCTGAGCAGTGTTCCTGCCCTGGGGTGGGGCAGGCAGAGGCTGGCCACTGTTGCCTGTGGGTTTCAGGGCCAAGCTGGGCAGGACAGGCTGGGTAGGGGTAGGGCCCGAGGCTGCAGCTGCTGGTGTCTGCTGTGTTCGTAGGGTCAGGTTCTGTACCTGAAAAAGAGGGGCCTATGAGAGCTCAGAGGATGCAGACAGGACCAATACCAACACACAGGCAGGAGGAAGTTAGGGTGGATCCAGGACTAGCCTAACACCAGAGGGGATTGAAAAGGAGAGAGCGAGAGAGACACAGAAAAATGGGCTGTAGACAGAGAAGCACACGGTGGGGGGGGGGGGAGTAGTTAGGGGCCGAAGGAGGAACCAGGAGCAGGAAGTATGGCTGGTTGGTTATCAGAACTGAGTTCTGCCTGGCTGGGGCAGACGGGCTCGGAGGCCAGCATCATTCCTCCTGTTACTTTCCCTCCTCCAGATGCTATCAGAGCTGGATGCATACCACTAAGGTGAGGCATGGTATAGAAAAAGCCAGGTCAAAAATGACAGGCGAGCAAAGGATTGGCTTGTCCTCACAATCACGTTAAGGCCAGGCATTCCAGAGACAGCGGCGTATTTACACAGCCCAGTCCCTGGTGCCCTCTGCTGGACATAGGGAGGTGGTGCAGGACTCATAACCTAGTTTCTCCAACCCTTGAGCTCGGGTCCCCATTCTGGAGATGGGGTGGGGAGATGGAGTAAGATGTGTGTTCTCAGCTCCCCACAGGCTTCTCACACACAATAGCGTCCACATACTGCAGCAGAAGGCAGGGGGCCAGGACCCATGCTATTCCTTCTCTCAGTGTGCTCCTGTCCCCAATCCTCACCCCTCACAGCTGGCTCATGAACACCTCAGCACACTGCCCTCTGCTGTCTAACTATATTCAGAGGGGCCAAGGCAGAATCAAGAGATGCTGAGGCCAGCTGGATGGGAACTAAAACATGAGTCCATGGTTTTGTTTTGTTTTGTTTTTGCTTCCTAGACCAGTCCCGCCATTGCCAACACCCCCAAGGCTACCTGTAGCCAGCCTCCTACCGCTCTAAGAGCTGCCCACCCCCTTCCCTCCCACAAGCCCGGGATCCTCACCTGGGCAGGGGTAGGGGGCCGAGCGGGGGAGCCAGTGCCGAGCTCAGGCTGTACAGTAGCGACGGTGGCCGTGGGCGTGAAGATGAGCTGAGGGGACAAAGGAACAGTGCGGCCTAGGCTCCTAGCTACCTGCACCAAGTTACCTGGCTGGGCCTGGAATCACAGGAAGTGAGGCACCTTTTACCTGCCCAGTGTGGGCTCAGCCACAGGGTAGAGCACTTTAGCCAGGGAACAGATGTGAAGACAGCCAGGCAAGCGGGACATGAAGCCATGAGAAGGCAGGAAGCCCAGGGAAACTGGACGCCTTAAAAGGCTTGGGTGTGACAAACCAAGCCAGACAGTGTGGGGTAGGGTGCAAGAGCCAGGACCTCATTTGGAGGGACCCTGAATGTTCCCAGGACACCCTCAAGTCACTGGTGAGTAGGAAATGTGGGCAGCTGTTACAGGCCCTTTTCCAAGTCTAAGCTACTTCTGACCCCAGGGCTACATCAGAACAAGCTTCTCTCAAATCAGACATTCTCAGTTGTCACTTTCCAGTCAAGCTTTGACTCAGCAGGGGTCGGGAGGGGAGTCCAGAAGCAGCAGAGGAAGGGGATGGCCTGGAGCTATGGTGACTGCACCTCATCTAGAGCGGAGCAGGGGATGAGTCATTCCTGGCTGGCACCTTGACCTCTGTGTGGCTGTCTCTGAAATGCATGTGGCTAAGCTGGTGTCTGGGCAGGGGGCCTTCCCTTCAGCTCAATGGTGATGCCTCCTGGCTCCTTTCCACTGTGTTTATCCTGCTCTTAGGGGATAGCAGATGGGCATCAGGACCCCAGTGGGGCATTGAGTAAAGTGAGGTGTGGCTGCCAGTTGGCTGGAGACATGGAAGTTCATCAAATACTGTCGGAGGCATTGCCTGGTAAGGGGAAAGTGCCTGCAGCGACAAGCTCAGAACCAGGAGCAGGACTGGAAGAGCTCAGAGAGTAAGATGCTCCGCCCCGTAACAGTAGAGGCAGGGTGGGAGTGTACAGTCTTCAGAATGATGTGTCCAGGGGTGAAGGAGAGAACTCCCTCTTCAGCATGGGGAGCATGAGCTAGCACTTGTCAATCAGCCTGTCGCCGCTACGTGGTTGCTTCTCAAGTCTACTGTTGTCAGACCTAAGGACCCCTTCCGGGCAGATACGAAGGTGCGATTCCAGGCATGCCCGTGACAGCCTGGTATGTTTTGTACAAAGAAGCTCACCTGGCCCCAACTAGAAAGTGGAAAGCCGAGAGGCCCCAAACCAGAGGACTTTCATGGGAGCCAGCCCATCCCTGTGGAGCAGCTAGAATCTGTCTCCTCATCTTCGAGTTCTAGGCATCTGGGCATACATCCTGCACTGTCTACCTAGTTAGTTCTGAGAAGAGGAGGGAAGGGAGGCGCCGTGGGTGACTTTCCTTGGCTCCATCTTGGACCTGACCTTTCCTGAGCCCTATGGTCTCCCACTCAATCTTTGGGCTTCTTCTATCCCCTTCCTCATGCTCCTGGTTCCCAGCATCCTCTGCTCCTTCCTCTAACCTCCCGGTTCCCACCTTTCCTGATTGTGTCCCTGCCGTGCAGGAGCACATCCAGGCTGCACACACTCACCATCTGTGCTCTGAGGTACATCTGTGCTTGGCTGGCAGTCAAGGCAGGAGAGGACGCATTGCCCAAGAGCACAGCCTGCTGGGTGAGGCCCGAGGCTGTGGCTGAATTGACACTCTGTGCCCGGTTGATGAGCTGGGCTGTTGCAGGGGCTGCTGCCAGGTTGAGCTGATGGGAAAGATGTGCACATTAGGAAACAGGAGGCCAGGGGTGAACAGTGTCCCCTCTATTTCTTGTCTCCCTCTTTTGCTCTATGGCCTATGCCGCATCCTTGAGGACCAACTCCTGCCCTAGGCTCTGGGTGGTTCCTCTAACTCTGCCCCATAGCTGGCTTGGGTGCACAGGCGCAGGGAGGACCCTACAGTGCAAGCACAGAGTTAGCAACAGAGCCTTGACGTCAGGAAGATGATGGGGTGCTAGTGTCAGAGCCACAAAGGGCACGTGAATTCTGTTCCTGACAGATGTAACACATTACAGCTGTGACCCTACCTGGCTGGGAATTCCCCTCAAACTAGATCTGGGAGATAGGGGGCATCTTAGGCAGGAGCCAGTCGATGGGTGTGGGCTCTGCCTGACATTCCCATGCCCTACTCACTGAAGGAGATTGGGTGGGAGCCTGTGAGGACACACTGCTGCCGGAAGTACTTCCTTGTCTGTTGGCCACCAGGCTTGCCTGGAAAAGAACAAACTCTGGTCACTAGTGTCTTCCACCTCAGTCATTCCTGGGCCTTTATTTTCCAGGAAGTGCTCTGGACAGTGGTCAGGAGAGCAGCCCCTAGGGTCTAACCACATTTTCGTCATCCACTTAGGCCCTCAGCATGGTTCTAACCTATTTCTCTCATCCACACAGACCTTCAGCATGGTTCTGACCTCTACTCTCATAATTGACCAGTAATAACCAAATCTACCTGGAGGAACTACTGAGCCATCACTACTGCCCAGCAATCAACTCCAGCTCTCTCTCTAGGCCTCCATCCCACCCACTCCATCCACGAGGGCCATGGCACCACATGAGAGTTTTGCACACTGACGTGGACAACCTGTCCCTCTTCTCGGGCCAACTGCTTCCAGGGCTGAAGTGTCAGTGTCAGTGTTATTCTGGCAGAGAGGGCTTCCCTGGCCCCTTGATATAAGGGCAGCCTCCCGTCCTTGCTGAAGTCCACTTTCTTTGCAGTGTGGCTAAAGGGCTCACTTTCTTGCACCAAGGAGACAGGTTCCACAGCGCACCTGCCTGCCATTAACATCGCACACAGAAGGTGCATAAACACTGTGTCAGGTGAAGGAATGAGTCCCTCAGTGAACCTATGTATCTGCATCATCGGCATTGGCACCGGCAGAGAGGTAGGCACCAAGCACTTCCTGGGTTAGCAGCTGAGAACCTCAGATGTTCCATGCACCAGCACAGACCTTGGTATCTGTTTCTCTCCTGCTAAAGGACGTATGACCGCATCACCTGTTTCTTGGGGGCTTTGTGGGGACTCTGAGAGGAACTGGGGGAGCACGGCGATATGACTTGTTTCCTCTCGGATCACTCCCATATTACAACCTAGATTTCCCAAGAGCCTGGGGACCAGGGCTACCAGGTCACGTACCTGCTGCACCGCTGCCAGGCTCTGGAGCTGCGCACTGCTGAGGTGGTGTTGCTGCTGCAAGGCTGCCGTCTGCAACATGAGGTGCTGCTGCTGTGCGGCGTACATCTGCTGCAGGTACTGCGCCGCCGTGCTGGGCTGCCTGTGCAGGGCCTGCTGGATCACCTGAGAATATGGGACAAGGGACAGGAGCATCAACAGGCCATGCGATGTGTCTTCTCTGCATTGCAGTCACGCCTCCTCAACGCCAGCTGCCCAGAGAAGGACCCTGCACCAGTCCCAGGCGGGACAGAGCCGTTCTCAGAGTTTCACACCTGCCTGTCTCATCCGTTGGACACTGTCTCAAGCTCCTACCTGATGGGGTGTTCTGCCTCAGCTGCCAGTACCCCACTGGCCAGCCCACTCCAAGGGAAACACAGCCTCCCATGCCAGGCTTGGTAGACACTCTTCCCTTACGCTGTAGCCTCATATTCAAGATCACAAGCCCAAGAGGCTGGGAAGAAAAAAGTGCATCAGAAGGGTTATCGGGAGCCAGGAAAATTGACTAGCGTGAAGGCAACACCTTCCTAGAAGGCCAACCTGGAGCCCCCTCCAAGGTTCTGCCCTCCTACTCCCAGAGAATCTTGTCATTCCCCTGGAAGGTTTTCGGGGCCTCTGGGAGCATGCCCACACCACAGAGGACACACGACTCTGACTCTTCCCTCCCTAATCTCTTCTGTCCTTTCCTTGCTCTTTGTAGGTGTTGCCTCCTGAGCAGCAGTCTGCTCAGCCCCAGGACTAAAGAGACCCAGAGACATTTCTCTCTCTTCTTGGCCATCTCTTCCATGTAATGTCCTGCACCGGCCCTATCTCCACTCCCCCAGTCTAAGGTCCCAGGGGTGCCCCTGGCCAGCCCTGACTGGAAGAGCTTTGGGCAAGGGTCTCTCTGAAGTGCTCCAGGGCTCTTGGCTTGGATTTGGGGTTCTGTTCCAGCAGGCTGACATCACAGATCTCTGTGGGCTCTGGTGTCTCCCAGAACCCCATGCTCTGATGCACACATTTCCCTAATTCCTCTCTGCTTCAGTGTACTCTCCACCCAGATGCTGCATATAAGGACTCCATCCTTTCAATCCCATTGTCTCCAGTTTCATTTTGTTCTTGTTCCCTCACTAGGCCTGCTACCCCCAGCAGTGCCGGAGACTTGGTGGCTCCTGACTGGGAGTCAGGAGGGACCCCAGTGGCTCTGCATGGGTGCTGGACGCAGAGGCCCATCAGAGCAGCACCCCGGCAGCCTTTTGCTGCAGTTCTGGTGAGTGACAGGAGATGGACATTTGACTCAGATGCAGAGATCCAGAGCTAAAGACTCAAGTGTGAAGGGCAGGGGAAGGAAGAGGCTGGTGTGGGAACAGGAAATGCAACTTGATTAAGTGTGAAGCAGAGATAACCAGGAGAGGAGACAGTCCAGAGTGTGTGGCCTGGTCAATAACAGAATTCCCAGGCTCCCCACTTTCTGCTGTGGCTTCTCCCCTTCTCTCTCTTCTGGGCCTAAGACCAATGCAGCATAAGGTCACTTGTCTATTATATCCAAACCATAACAGCAGAGTTACTTAATGTAAATATTTCTCAGTAGTGACTTTTCCAATTTGCTCTGTTTGCAAGGAAGCTCAAACAGACATTACTGTGAATGCTAACAAATGGCAAATGCTATCTGCTTTAGGTTCCTGCAGAGTTAGGTTCTTTCTCCCCCTTTATGTTGGTAAGCCATCACCTCCCCTGAGACTTTGTTTTATCAAGTGTGGACCTGTGCCTAACAGCCATTCTTATAACTGAAGAAGACATATATGGTCAACCATGGTAGTTTGTGCCTGTAACCCCAGCTTTGAGAGGCTGAGGCAGGAGGGTCACCATGAATTCTAGGCCAGCCTGGGTTGAATAGTAAGTTCCAGGCCAGTCTGGAATAGAGTGAGACCCTGCCTCAAAATAACAACAAAGACTGATATGTAAACATAGTGCCAGGCACACGCCATGATAGGTGGCATGCACGATCGCAGCTACATTCTGGGACTGTGTCTAGCTCCCTGGAGGGTCTCACGAATAGCACTTGGCAGAGTTTATGGAAGAAGTGATTTAGCCTGGAAGACTAAGAACTGTCTGGGGCCACCTGTCTTTGAAAAATCTTAAATATGTCTATGTGTACATGTGTATGTGTATTGTGTATGAGTGTATGCATGTGTGTGTGTGTGTGGAGTAGTTTGTGTGTGTGTATTGTATATTAGTGTATGCATGTGTGTGTATTGTGTATGAGTGTATGCATGTGTGAGTGTGTGTGAGTAGTTTGTGTGTGTGTATTGTTTATGAGTGGATGAATGCGTGTGTATGTTGGTGTGTGTATGATTGTGTATGAGTGTATGCATATGTGTGTATGTGTATATATTGTGTATGAATGTGTGCATGTGTTATGTGTGAGTATGTGTGTATTGTGTATGTGTGTGCGTGTGTAGTGTGTGTGGGTGTGTGTACGTGCATGTGCATGTGTGCATGCGTGCGTGCATGTGTGTGTGTGTGTGTATGTAGACTAGAGGTCAATGGTAGGTGCCATTGCCATCCTGGATCACTCTCCTTTTCTGAGACAGGATCTTAGACTTTTGGACTCACTGATTAGCCTGGTGGGGCCACTGGGCTCCAAGGGCCCACCTGTCTGCATTGGATGCACTGGTGCTGCAGTTTCCTAAAGTGGATGCTGGGGATCTAAGCTCAGGTCTTCCTGTTTGCACAGCACACTTTTACTCCTGAACCATTGCATCACAGCCCCCTTATGCTTGTTTTTTAAGTGGCAATAGCCACTTAGAGGGCCAGCCTGGCTTGTGATCGAGTGGTTCTCAGCCACATTGCTTTGCTTACTTGTCTGTCCTTACTGCTTTCACACACCTGTTCTCCACAGACAACACCCTTACCGTCCCTCAGGGGAGATGGGTCTTTCTGATCTAAGGTCTTTCTCTCTTTCAACTCCCTGTGTTGGGCCCATCTGATATCACTTCCCCTCTTTCCATCACGCACAACTATATATCCACTGACCCACACCCTCTGCCCATTCTGGAGCTGTCCTGGCTAGCCCACCAGACCATGCCAGCACTCCTTCTGGGCAGCCTTGTTAACGAGGAGATGCAATGCCAGGCTAATTAGGACCTTACCTGCACAGTCTGCCGGTCGGGAATACCACTGTACACAGAAATCTGGGGTGCAGTGAGGCGGCCACTGCCACCACTGCTACTGCTGCTGCTGTTGCAGCCACTGCTACTACTGGTTCCACTGGTGTTGCTGGTGACGCTGGCACGGCTGGATGTGTGGGGGGCTGGCAGCTCATTCTCCATGGCCTGTGAGGTGGCACAGTCAGGGTGCTCAGGCAGCAGAAGAGCAGGTGGATGCTAGGGAAGAAGGAAAAGGAATGGGAAGTTAGCAAACATCTGTTACGCAGGCACAGGGGTTTGGCCCTCCGTGTCCCAGGCTTCCTAATTTGTGAATTCAGACTCCTTGGATGGAAAATGCTTGGGGAAAAAACGGTCTGAATGAAGCATATGGACCCTCTTCTTGTTAGTCCCCAAATAATGCAGTTTATCCTACTTAAAACTCCTATCTTGTAGGCTGTAGAAGACATCTAGAACTTATTTAAAACACATGGGAGGGTGTACATAGGTTACATGCATTTGTATAAGGGACTTAAAGAAAGATCTGGGTGGGATGTCTGAGAACTGTTCTCCTGAGAATTAGCAAGTGAGACTGAACAGACACACACCATCTTTCTAAGCAGGCTGCCATGGGCCACTTACAAACTGCGGTTTTGTTTTGTTTTGGTTCGTGTTGGTTTAGTTTGGTTTGGTTTGGCTTTTAAAGACACAATTTCTCTAGGGAGCCCCCCCACTCCCCTTGCTGGCCTCAAACTTGCAATCCTCCTGTCTCTGATGTCTCAATGCTGGGATTATGGGCATGCATCCCCATGTCCAGTTCTGAACTGAGGCTTTGAGTCACACTGGCCCCCAGAAGAATAGGGCCAGGTTGGGTCCTTTAGGGGATTATGAAATCGGGTGTGTCTGGTCTGAAGCCTAGGGGATGTGTCTTCTGCCAGAAGAGATAAAACCAGTAATGGAGGAGGATTTCTGGTGTGTTTTCCCTGGCAGGGACCACCCCAGACTCCACTGACCTCTTTGGATAAACTGAACACCAGAGCTTATACCAGATATACACAGCCTAGGCAGCAAAAGTGGGTTTAAACGCTAGAGAACAGAGTGAGGGAAGAGACAAATCAAGAGGTGAGGAAATGATAGAAGTATTTACTTAGTTTTGTTTTCAGAGGCCAAAGAGCTCAGAGTGGTTGCCTTCTCTGCTCTGAGTCCTCCCAGAATTCCCTGGAGCAGGTGCAACCTGGAGCATCTAACTAACATCTTCTGCTTCTGAAGATGTGAAGGACTAGGGTATGAATCTTCCTTTGGTCAGTTTCTAGTCGGGGATCACACTTGTCTGCCTGTTTCCTAACCTGTCAAATGTTAATGTTAATCCCTGAAGCACAAAGTAAAACACCATGCAAAGTGCCCAGCGGGCTGTCTGTCACCTGCTGAGTGTCCCCACCAGCTGCTGCTTTGTTAATACTGTCCCCTTCTGGTTCCCACTGTCTGGCTCCAATAGATCATGCTTCTCCCCAGAAACAAGTGAGGGAGTCCTTAGGAATTAGTTGTCTGAGCCAAGAGGAACACTAAAAACTCCACCAGAGGTCATGCGGTGGTCCAGATGTGCCCCACACACCCTCACAGGCCCAGTGCCTTGGTGGATAGAGCTTGGGGAAGAAGTAAAGCATGGTGGGAAAGGCACATCAGATATAAGCTCGAGTTCCCCTTTTAATTTTTCAAGCACTTCCTGATCCCTTTCCTTTAGTTCTGCGCGCGCGCACACACACACACACACACACACACACACACACACACACACACACACCTTGTTTGTGTATCACCCACCACAGACATTCAACCATCTTCTTGTAGAAGGCACCAAATTACTTAAAGAAAATAGGAATTTTCATGTTAATGAAAACACTGATTTGTGTAAAGAATAGAAACAGATGTTAACATCTTTTCTCAGTCTGAGGTTGACATTCCTCATGATACCTTATTCAGACTGAGTGGTTTCACCATGGGCAAAAATCAAAACAAATAAAAAAACCAAACCAGGGGGCTGGAGAGATGGCTCAGAGGTTAAGAGCACTGGCTGCTCTTCCAGAGGTCCTGAGTTCAATTCCTAGCAACCACATGGTGGCTCACAACCATCTATAGTGAGATCTGGTGCCCTCTTCTGGCCTGAGGGCATACATGCAGACAGAATACTGTGTATATGATAAATAAATAAATAAATCTAACAACAAAACAAAACAAAACAAAACAAAACCTTATCTGGGGAGGCAGCTGGAGAAATGGCTCAGCGGAAAGTGCTCTCCCTGCAAGCATGAGGACCAGAGTTTGGATCCAGCACCCACATAAATGCCAGATAGATGTAATGGTCTGACTGTAACCCTGGAGCTTGGGAGGATGAGACAGGAGATCCCTAAAGCAAGTTGCATAGCTATACTAGATAAATCTGAGCTCTGGGTGCAGCGAGAGACCCTGCCTCTATACATAAGGTAGATGAGTAATTGACATTACTCTGGACCCCACATGCATGCATACCCACCTACTTTGGTATATGGGTATATGTGAAGGTCAAAAGGCAAGAATGTTGGGGGTTGGGAAGCCAGAGCCACACCCCGTGGGTGTTCTGCCTTCTAAGGCCAAGTACTTCTCTGAAACTGTGCCTGTGACCTGGGTCACCAAGTAGATTCTTCCTGAGGCTAGTCTGTGGTGATATGTTGGTTTTGATCTAATAAAGTTTGCCTGGAGATCAGAATGCAAAGCTAGCCACAGCCATAGAGACCAGGCAGTAGCGGCATATATCTTTAATCCCAGGACTCAGGAGACAGAGGCAGATGGATCTCTATGAGTTCAAGGCCACCCAGGGCTACATGAGAGTGACTCAGTCTAAAAAAGAAACAGAGCTCACACCTTTAATCCCAGCACTAGAAAGGTATATAAGACAGGAGCATTCAGTCTTAGGCAATTAGTCTCCAGCCATGTTGAGGACAGGATCACCACAGTCTTGGTAGAGTTAAGAGTTTTCTACTGGTTGGCCATTTTGCTTTTCTGATTTTCAGCTTGAATCTCAATATCTGTCTCTGGGTTTTTATTATTTGTGTTACACTTGTCTGTTTTTACTGTCGAGGGCTCCTTGTTCAGGAATTCCTCTGCTCTGATCTGCACTGGAGCCAGGCCTCATGATGACCACTCACTCAATAAGAATGCTTGTGGATGAGGAGGGAGATGCAAGGGTCAATGGTATAGCTAAGTCAGCAGGGAGTTCCTGGGCCTGACTCTGTTGAGATCAACCTTATCTATGTTGGGTGTCCAGGCTGATGGAAAGCAGTGGGGAGCACTGTCCCTGGCCTTGCAGACACTGAAAAACTAACTATCAACTGTGACTTTAAAAAGTTAATAACTTTGTGGATGCATATGTGTGGAGGGCCTAAATGCACATTTGTGTTCCAGCATGTGGAGGCCTGAGGGTGATGTTGGGCACCTTCTTCATTTCCTTACTTTACATATTGAGGCAAGAGCTCCCACTGTTGCGGCTAGTTTGGCTAGCCAGATTGTTCCAGGAATTCCCTGTCCCCCACTCCCACAAGGTGCTGAGTTATGGGAAGGCTTTTATATGGGTCCCGGGATCTGAGTTTGAGTCATCATGCATGCACCCTTTACCTGCTAAGCTATCTCCCCAGCCCCTACTGTGATCGCAGGTAAACCTGTAATGACAGCTCTCTCCAAACACTAGTTAGTACCCAGCAGGGTCCTCACCTCCCTTTCCCTAAGCATTGACTAAAACTGGGGCTCAGCTCACACTCTTAAGACATCTCAGCTGAAGCATTTGGAAGAAGTCAAGTGGGAAACAGGCAGCCACTGGGGAGGAGAGGCTGAACAGGTCCTGGGTGACTGAGTTTAGTGTCTAGTCATTGCTTTTGGTTGAACGGGTACTGTAGAGTGCGTACTCGGGCCTCATGGACAAATGCTAGTGGTATTGCTCTGTGGAATGCTGCCAGTGAGATCTCAACAGCATGGCTCCCAAGCAAGATGACACTTCCCTTAGTCACCAGGGAACCCAGTCGTCTCCTTCCATTGCTGGCCAGTGCCCATGCCGTCTCTGTTCGCCTTCTCATAGGTTCCTACCTCCAGCTCCTCTGTCTCACTTGGCTTCACTCCCTACACTCTGTGATACATGTGCTCACACTCTCCCTCCCTTTCCCACTCACCTATGGCTGCATCCTGTCCCGTGTCCTCTGCCTGCACATTCTGCTCTCTCTCTATGTCCCCTCATCCCTGCTTTCCCCATGGATGGATCCTGCCCAGCTCTCAGCCCACTAATGGGCCCTTCCCCACTAATCTTGATCTCTCTGCTTTCTCCAAACCCCTCTGGCCCCTGACTGACCTTCCTCGGTCCTCTGGGACAGCACCCTTTACTGCTCAGCTTCCTAGACAGCGCATGCTGTCTGGGACTGCACTGTCTCTCTGGCTTCCTCTGTCCTGGCTCCTGCTTTGAGTAGCTAGAGCTGCCTTCCCAGCTGCATTTTCTGTACAGCATTCAAGCACAGGACAAGGAAGGCCAGACTGCTTTGAGCACCAGCCTTCCAAAGTGTGCAGAAGGCTAGCTCACAACATGTAGCTACCATCACCATCTATTTCTGTAACCATTAAGAAATAACTCATTTGCTGCTGTCCAGCTGTGTAGACCCTGGTGGCATCAGATATGCTTCTATGAATCTGCCTTTTCTAATACCATAGATGAGTGGAACCATAGATTAGTGGGGGAAGGCCCATTTTCACGTGTGTGTGTGTGTGTGTGTGTGTGTGTACACCTCATTTTGCTGCTTCATTCGCCTGCTAATGGACACTCAGGTTGTTTCTATCATTGACAATGGCCATTGTGAATAATGTTCTAATTCTCTAGTGTGTAAGTAACAGTGAATCATGGCACAACTCTGTGGAGGGACATGTGGCTATCCAGATGTTCCTGTGCCATTTGTTGAATTACCACTGTGTTTCTGGGGCTCACAGAATTCCCCTCCAGCTATCTTGTGTGTGCCAAGCCCCTGTGTCTTATCTCCTTCCTGCCTTCCTTCCTACCAAGCTGCCACCCTGCTGGGCTCAGCATTATTGTGATTGACCTGAAAAGTCTTGGACATCTTGCAACTCTTCAGTTCTGGGCTTACTGCTGTGGTAGCTTATGCTGTTCCTGTCCCCCAAAATACCTTCCTTCCAGCTTCCATTAAGCATCTACTCAGATCAACAGCATAGCA